ACAAACCATTGAACTTCGCAGTTTAAAATGGCATAAATAATTTGTAATAGGACTAAGACCATGCGAGCTAGTAAAATGCGAATTGCATCACATCTTTAAAGTGCATAGTCCATATCAGTGACATCACCATGGAACAACATCCCATATCTTAAAAGTCCAAAGGATGAGTTGAGTTGATCTGGGAGGGAGATATCAGAGGAGGAGAGAGGGCTGTTTGGTTTGTAATCAGTGATTTTCCTGATACCATGCCAGATACAGCAGTATGGGGGCTGTTAAGTCTGTGTGTTTCAGTCTGTGTTCATATTAATCACCTCTGTATATATATGAAACTTTTGTCTTTTTTATTATTTACTGCCATCTTGGCCAGAACTTCCTGGAAAAAGAGATATTGTATCTCAATGGAACCTTACTGGTGAAATAAAGGATAAATAAAATAAAATAAAATAAAAAATAAGGACTTATAAATCTCAGAACTTATGCCAATCGTTTTAAATGACTATTTTTTTTTTTTACCAATTATAACCAAAGTAAGTCCTCTCAACTGCTGGTTGAAACAAAATTGACTGGATTTGTACTCTCTGACTTGTCCACCTCTGCTGATGAAGGGTATTACGCTGGAGACCAACCCACCTGACTAAAGGGCAAATTCACAGCCTAGCTTATATTAGCTGTAGACATATAAGAACCCCCACCCTCAGACCAGAGCATTACATCACCCCAGTGCCCCCACAGGATGGCGTACGCTAATGCTAATGACTGCCGCTTCTGATGGCTGGCAGTTTCCGAATTGGCCACTTCCGTCCCCTTACCTCTGTCCTTCATTAAGATGATATCCATGGCGACCACGCGATGGTTGTTGCCATAGCGTCGCATGAGTATGGTCGCCTTGTCGATGGCGATCTTCCCGTGAAATTTCTCCCTGAGTCGCCTAACATTCTTCTCCAGCTGGGTGACACAAACATCACATTGTGCGTTAAGTGACTGCACCCCATGTATTGGAACGCACACACTATACTATATGCAAAAAAAAAGCAGATACCAGATATTCAGCTGGTTAGCCATGCCAGGCCACAACAAACCCACAAAACAGCATAGAAAACACCTTTTTTTTAAGTTTTTTTTAAACCTGAGTGGACCTGTATTCTGTCTGTCATGTTAGTGGTGTGATTAGGGATGCTGCCTTTGACGTGGGGTTTATGTAGCCAATAATACGACTCGTTTAGCGTTCTCTGTTATACAGAGACATCTACCTGGCCAACATACACTGTCAGAAAACAATACCAATTTGTACCTTTGCTTGTCACTGCAGCTGTACCCTTAAGGTACAAGACATCAACTTTGAGGAATATCCCCAAAGTACAAACCACATTAATGTAACCCCAAAGGTAGACAGTGTTCCTGATAGTCCATTTATGTGTCTTAAAAGTTACATTTACCCTTGAGGGTACAGTGACAAGCAAAGGTACAAATTGATACCCTTTTTTCTGACAGTGTAGCGAATATATAATGTACATATGCCCAGGTTCTAAACTATTTTCCATTTGCGGCGGTCCAACACGCTTGGACATCATTACTAACACATACGCGCAGGCAAAACAAGGCTCACATCTACAAACAAGCTGGAGGCACAAACGCAGGATACACGCAGATCCTCATTGACACCCCTGCTGGCCCTGCTGAACTTTGAAAAGTGATAATCCTCCGCCATCGCGTCCTGTCCAACATGGACAGACCTGTGTTATTTATGGGCATTTCGATCGTTAGACATGGAGTGGTGCAATTTATCAGAGTCCAAAAGAAACGGTGCCAAAGGAATACGCCCACGTTTATGCCTTGGTATAAAATTAAACGTTATTTAAGGTGGATGTAGCGGTATGTGAAGATCATCTGAACGTCGGCGTGATGCAGTATAGCTTCGGTTGCTTCTGACTGATGTCACATCAGCGTTTTTATTTTGAGAGACCGCGAAAGGCATCGGTGGTTTCCAGGGTCGGTAAGCGGTCTGGATAGCGGGCAAAAGCCGGCGCTCGGGACGTCGCGCAAAATGACTTTGCGAAAATGAAAGTTATAATAAATGGAAGTAATAAAGCAGATGTTTTTGCATTATTTCGGACCATTTCGGATCGAGGAAATTAGGGAACTGCCCTATTAACAATAATGCATATCCATGAATATTGATCATCTTTGCCACACAACGTAGCATAAATTGGAAGCATAAAAAACGGAACGCAAAAATGACTCTACCTCCACCTCTTCTCGCAGTCGGTTCATTTCCTGCTTTGGTTACACTTGTAATCTTTATAAGTGGCTCTTCTTCTTTGCTCTTTACAGCAATACGTGGAAAAGGAGCGTAGCTTCATTTGCTTGTCTCGATTTCCTGCTTGAAGCTGTGTGTATGCGACGCCTGTTTTCTCTTTTATTACTTTACTTTCAGTTTATTATGTAAACGATGTCTCTATACGCCAGCTGGCGGCGCCATAACGTCTCGGAAATAAATTAGAAGCGTATTTCTTAATTTCTGATGTATTCGGGAGATATGTCTTAGCACAATTAAGTTCATTTACTTTTAGTTTCAATGAAGTACTGCTTTAAAGCATTTACTTTTCTTTACTTTTTTAATTGGATGAGTTAAATAGGCCTACATTTAAAACAATAAGCTAATATACTATGTTCCGTTACTCGTTTTGCAACCAGGTGTGGGACCATAAACTGTTACTGGAATAGTTTGTTAAACCGGATTCATTTGAAAGGGAATTTAGACCTATTTTAACCGCGTCTCACAGCTAGGCGGCTTTTGCCATCAGCTCTCACGTAAGTCTGTCCAACAAAATGAGGAAAAAGTTAGGAAAACCTGCCGTTCAGGCTGGATCGGCTGCGTTGCAGGTGTCTGTAGGGTATCTGGTTTCTAAATCTGTTCTGTAACATCATGTGCTAGATGGACGCTGTGATCGATGTTATACAAAGAGCATTCCTGCGCAGTTTACTGCCTTACGGCTGAAGGCACATTAATTTTCTATAACTGTGAGGCCGATTACCATGCAAGCAACTTGTGTGCGTTGTTTCGGTTCCCGACAGAGCAAATAGGATTATGGGATGATCTCGGGATTTCGCTTTGGGGCTGGGACCCCCGCAGATCTGTCAGCCGAGCTTATATTAAGCACAGGCATAGAGGCTCAGTTAATTGTCATGCTGGATGCTAGCATAACGCTGGTCACTTTTAAAAACGACACACAGTCGTGATCCTGTATTTTATGTCATCTTATATTATCTGAGTGCCCGCAACACCCCCTGAGGCTGGCTGTCAGGTAGTGTGCTGCGCATATAGGCCTGAAACCAGTATAGAGACAAAAAAATACACTAGAAGAAGGTTGTGCACACATGTTTAGTGACACTTTGTAGTGACATTTCTTAAGACATGCAGCAATTGCTTTATTTATCCCTTTGATTTTTGTTTTACCCTTTAGCTCAGCTCGAAATCTTAATCGAAAGGTGACATCAGCAGAAAATGGCGCGCATCACCTTGTCAACCGGCTGTTATTGGAATGTCCTGCACAACTCGCTCGATCGACTGGTTTTTCCGGTCAGTGACATGTTACTTACAACGTTGTCACTGCGGAATAGACGTGATGCACAAATATGAAGAGGTGCTCGGTAAACTGGGTCAACGGACGGATAGAACGACCTTTCACAGCCCATTGTTTCTTTAACCAGAAAGATTCAAGATTCAACAGCTTTATTCGTCACGTACACAGTCGTACACATACAACATCTAGTGGAATGTAAGCATGGTCACTCCGAGCAGCTGTGCATGATAGCGAAATATAGAGAAAAAATAAGGAAAAATAATAATATAAGATAAAAAAAATATATGAAATGTTCAGCTGTACATAATCTATATATAAGTGATAGGTAAGAGGTATTTTGGCTGTGCAATATAAGTGCAATGTGCAAGAGGCCTGAAGGGATGTGCCAGCGATTTGGACAGTGTGAAGCTGCACCTAGAGGCATTGAGTATTGTCCTGGTTTAGGAGCCTTATGACATGGGGGAAAAAGCTCCTCCTTAACCTTCCCGTTCTGGTCATAAGGCTGCGGAAGCGTTCGCCTGAATTCAGCAGGCAAAGCAGAGAGTTATTGGGGTGGGAGGGGTGCTTGGAAATTTTTGTTGCTCTGGCCCTACAGCGGCTGGTGTAGATGGCTTGCAGGGAGAGCAGGGCAGATCTGGTGCAGCGCTCAGCTGCTCTACCCACCCTCTGCTGGGCTTTCCGGTGCTGGGCAGAGCAGTTCCCCAACCACGATGTGATGCTCATGGTCAGGATGCTCTCTACGGCAGCCGAGTAGAAGGCCTTAAGGACAGCAGGAGAGACCTTAAACCTCCTCAGCTGCCTCAGATGGTAATATGGTAGATGTAGTTTTGTCAAATTTAACATTGATCTATTAACATTATAACATTGGTAAGTACATTTTTAATGGTTCTACACTATGACTTTTTTACCTTATTATAGTGCCTACAAAAGTCTATCACAGTCTTCATAGAGGTGTCCCTTAGAGGTGCAGATATTTGTGGACAGAATAGCATTTTGCTGATATCAGATCTGATAAACTAGCGTTTCCCAAACCAGTGCTCAGGGCACACGAGACAGATCCACATTTTTGTTTTATCCCAGTTCCCGGAACACCTGACCCAAGAAATCAGAAGCTCTAAATACCTTACAGGTGTGCTAGGAACTGGGATGAACCAAAAAAGTGGATCAATGCAGTATACCCTGTGGACTGGTTTGGAAAACCTTGGTGCATCAGACCTGATATCACCAACATGCTATTCTGTCCACAAATATCTGTACCTCTAATGGACCAGAATCAAGAGATAGTGGGTGTGTGGAAACAAGAGGCAGAAGACTCTGGTCTGGTACAAGGGAACAAAAGTACTGGACAGCAGGGTGTTCAAGGGGAGCCAAAGGATCGTATCCCACAATCCCACAGCACATGAGGACACAAAGGACTGCAGTTACCTACATTTTATTAGAAGTAATTTATTTTACAACTTGTCTGTTGCAAACAAACAGTAAAGATGAGCTTCTGTACAATGATTTTAAACTACTTTTAAACAAGTATAAGAATTAATAATAACCGTAAAAAAAAATCTAAGTGTTTCTAGTAATACAGGAACAAACAAGTATTGGCCTTATTCTGTCTGAAAACAACGCTAACGTTTGTTCTTTTTGTCGTTTTGTGTTTTTTTTAGTACATACTCATTTTAGAAACATAAGACATTTGAAGCAGACAATTCCACTTCAAACAAACACTATTTACAAGCAGAAAGTCGAGTCGAGTTTCTGGACATGCACAGTGTAGCGATGGAATGACAAATGAAGAGTAAAGTTAAAAAAAAAAACAAACAAATAAACAGCATTTGCATGTCTGTACACCGCTGGCGCACATAGCAGTCCTTTGCTTATCTCTGGTTTTCCCGGTGGGGGGAAAAAAACACAAAATGCACTTTAAACACACCCAGTCCTGGTGTGGCAGGACCGAGACACTGAGCTGGCCATGCACTCAAAGGGCGTGTCCTGTCGAAATGGTTACAACCCCGTGGCGGGGTTTCAAACCGGTGGTGGGCTATCAAATGGGCTCCGGCAGTGGAGAGGAATGGGAAATTAGCAGCGGGATCACTTATTGTTACAGCAGGCGGGCTGGTGGATGGGGAAGAACAACAACAAGAACAAAGGTGTGGGAGGCCCCACCCATTCTCTGAAGGACCGTGGGATTGGCTGCCGGAGAGAGAGACAGCAAATGACAATGATGTATGACACTACATAGTAGTGTTAGCTCCGCCCCCAGCTTCTGACATAACCCCCCCCCAAGCAGAAATGCCTCCATCCCTCCTGCCAGGTGTCACATGGGCAGAGCCTCTACATGCCTCAGCAGGAAGTGAGGCGACGAGACGGGGGGTGGGGCTTCTTTAGAGGGAGCGGTGATTTCGGCAGCAACTGTGAGGAAGTGAGCTCCGATTTAGATGAGCCCACTAATAGACGGCCGGGAGTGAGTCCCCAGTAACTGGGGGTGTGTGGTTTACTGTCCCAATGCCGCCACCATAGCCCGGCTACATTTGACTAAAGCGCAACACAAGGAGTCTGTGGGACCTACAGACCGGAATGTCTGTGTGACAGAAAGCAGCAGCTGGTAAACATAGCTTTGATCGCCATGGCGACGCCGTCCATGGCTTCAAACAAAACGAAACAAAACAACGAAAAATGAAACACGTCCAAATAAAACAAAACAGAATGCAAAACAGGCAGTGAAATGCAAACCACAAAGGTAGACTGACAGCTGGCAAACTGGTATTTAGATGTCCCTTATTTAGTAATGGAGTAAATGCCCTTAGCCAGTAGACTAACTTACCATGGCTGGGATACTGTGGCAGAAGAGGTTCGTTCCACCTGGGGGCGGGGGAGGGGTGGGGGATCTAGAGCAGCCAGTGAGACACCCCTAATTGTGTGGTTCATCCTCATACCAAACAGCGGACAGCTGTTTCGCTAATACTCATGCTAATATTGAAATGGCCTGTTGACCGTTTGCTATCAGAGCCATCAGCCCCCCCCACCCCACCCCGCACACCCAGCAAGTGCTTCAGAAATGCCCCCTACATCCGTACAAAGAAATAATACCCATCAGGAATGTTCATTTTAATAGATCCTCCTCTGATCAGTACAAAATCCTAGTGCTGGCCATTTTTAAGTCTATGTGTTACACCAAGTTACGTTTGTTGTTTGTTTGGCCTAAATAAATACTTAAAGAAATTAATCAGTCAAAACTGGCAAATGATCTCCCTCATCCTGACACATTCTTAGCTCGAATTTTCAGGGGAGGACGAGCCTTTGTAATAGTGTCCACTCTAAATGTTGATCTTATACCGGTTTATTCGACCAGTTCTGGATAGGGATGGAGTGCAGACCAATTGGCGTTGAGCGTATCGCGCTTTGACGAGTGGTGTTGAGCTGTATGGGGGGGTTCGGCCCGCATTTAAAGGAGAGATTTCTCTGAAAGAGGGAGCAGGCATCTGAAATGTACTCAGGAGAAACAATAAAAGAAGAATAAATAAAAATGAAACGGGAGGAATTTCCCACAATAGTTGGCTCTTCTCTTCATCTACTTTTTAAAAGTTTGTTAGTTTCAGGAAAACCTCCCCTGCCTTTGAAATTAAAGACTTCAGATTTCTTCATATACTTTTTTTTTCCATTACAAAAAGTCCATTTTGACAGAATAAGTCTTACTTCATTAAATTGTCTTCTTTTTAAGACAACAGACATTTCCCTTTACTAATTTTACCTCCTGTTCGCTTGCAAAGCCAAGCTAACAGTTCATTGGATAATACAGTCAATCCGAATCCAAACAAAATCTTGGAAAGGGGGTGACAGATTTATATTCATTAAAAAAATGACAACTCCTACAGTGAGCTGAGATTTTTTTTTTTTCTTCCCCACACAAGTCCTCATGGTCCAGTGGCGACTTCACGCAAACACCTGCATCTTGCCGTTGGACTCCTGGACGTGAGGGATCTGTGTCTGGGCGGGACCAGCCACGGCCGGGCTGGGGGTGGAGTCTGACCAGTCGGACACGCAGTGCGGGGAGGGGCTGGACCAGGGCTCGGGGGACTCCGGCGACGGCGTCAGGTACGGGTGCTCGTTGGGCAGGTGAAGGTAATGCTTGGGCGTGGCATCCAGGGCGGAGCTGTAGCTGTGCTGAGAGGGTGGGGTCGGGTAGTCCTCCAGGCCCGTCCCGCTGCTGGCATTGGCACTCGGAGCCTGCGGGGGCGGAGCTTGTGGGGTTGGGGCTTGAGGCTGCTCGGGCTGTGGGGGCGGAGCCTGGGCGGGCTGCTGTTTGAAGAAGGGCGGGGGCGGAGCCTGCTGAGGAGTGGGTGGGGTCGGCGTGCCCATGCGGGTCATGCTCTGCTGGCTGGCCAGGCTGTGCTGCTCGGCGATGGAGGGCAGCTTGACGGGGCTCAGCGACTGCGGCGTGGAGACAGGTGTGGGCTGCAGCAGGGCCTGCTGGGAGCCGTGGAACAGCCGCTGCTGGTGCAGGAGGGCGGCCTGCTGCTGCTGCAGGGCTGTGCCCTGGGGGGCCACGCCAGCCTGGGTGCTGGTGGGAGGGTGCACCAGGCCCACGATCTGCTGGCCGCACTGGGAGGTGGTGGGCAGACGGGCGTGCCAGTCAAAGGGCACGCTGACCGGGCTCACCATGCCCAGGTTGAGCCCCAGCTGGCTGGCGTTCAGCACGTAGCCTGGGGGGCCGGGGGCCACCGAGGGCATGGGGATGCGTCCCATGGAGAGCGCGCTGTCGGCAAGATCACCCAGCTGCGCCATGGAGACAGCAAAGGGGCCGCCCGCTGCGTCCAGCAGCCCATGCACCATTGGGGTGCTGGGCATGGACACGGAGGGGTGGAAGAGGCCCGGGGAGGGCATGGCAGCCGGGGAGGCGGGGTTGGTGATGTAGCCGGCATTGCTGGCGCCGCCGCGTGGCGAGTCCAGTGAGTCGACAGGGGACAGTGTGACAGAGCTCTCCAGCAGCGAGCTCTGCATTTCCAGCGTCAGCTTCCGGTTCCGTGCCTTACCCGCATCTTTCAGCCCGCTCTGCGGCCCCGCCAGCCCCGCCCCCTTGGCCCCTGGCGGCCGCCGGCCCTTCTTGCCCTGCGGCGTGGGCTTCAGGCCGGACGCAAAGGCGCCGGGCGGGCACATGAGTGGCGAGAGTGCGTGCGCCCCCTGTGGGCTGCGGACGGTGTTGTACTCGTCCAGCAGCTGCACGATGTCGTGGTGCATGCGCTCCTGCGCGATGTCGCGCGGCAGCCGGTCCATGTGATCCGTGATCTCGCGGTTGGCGAAGTGCGCCAGCAGGATGCGAACGGCCTCACAGCTGCCCTCCCGTGCCGCCAGGAACAGTGGCGTCTCTTCCTGTGGGGAGGGGGGCACAAACTGTTACATACACATCCTGAGGGCACTCTGTGAACTGAAGATGTGGCCCGTGTTCATCGAGCAAAGAAAACATCTTTTCCCCACACAAGTAACTTAGCACCAAATACTAATTAATCAGTGTGTGGCTCAGCGGGTCAGGATTCTGTGTCTATCACCAGAACGTCGCTGGTTCTAATCCTGTGTGGTTGGCAGAGTGACTTCACCTTTGGGCCCTTGAGCAAGGCCGTAACCCCCAATTGATTTGACCCTGCTCTGTACATTGCTTTCAATAAAAATAAATTGTTTGTAAATAAAAAAGAGCAAAAGAACAGGATGAGCTCTCATCATCTGAAGTCCTTGTTGTGCATCATCATCATCTGCTAAAAGCTGGGCTTTATGTGCTCTCGCCCCGGGTGTGGGGATGAGGTGCACTCTCAGTACCTTGAGGTCCTGCATGTCCTTGTTGGCACCGTTCTTCAGCAGGGCCACCGTCGCCTCCACGTTGTTGACGGCAGCTGCCCAGTGTAAGGCCGATTTACCTGCAGCATGGGCCGGCGGACGTGATTGGTTAGATTGATGGAAATTCCGCTACACAGCCATTGGCTAGGAATTAATGTCTGCCTTTGAGGATGACGAGACTACTAACTTCTGATGAAAAGCTAGCGGTCCACTCTGGCTTTATAGCAGTCACCTCTTCTCCTGATGAGAGCGCCATATTTCTACACTCCAGCTTATACCAGTTGCAGGTTATTTGCCTCTGGCCACTAAGTTCCCATACTCCCTACCAATTAAACATCTGGCTTTTGATGCTACACCCAGTCACTCCCCCCCCCTCCCCCAGATGTCACATGACCCTCAGGAAGCGGCCTATGGGATGCCCCACCCACCGAGCTCGTCCACAGCGTTGACGTCAGCGTGGCAGGTGATGAGCTCCTCCACCATGCCCTCGACGGCCAGCCGGGCAGCCAGGACCAGCGCCGACGAGCCGTCGTACATGCGGGCGTCCAGGTCGGTGGCCCGATTGCGGATCAGAATCTGAAAGCACATCAGATCCACTTAATAAATGGATATGTCAGATATGTGTCAGTGGCGTGTTTCGGGTACTGTGTGTGTGTCCCCGCCCACCTGGAAGACCCCCTGTGCGTCCGCGGCCACGGCAGCATGCAGCGGCGTGCGGCCCGTGTTGTCCTGCGCATTCGCGTCGGCCCCGGCGTCCAGCAGCCTCTTAGCGGCGTCGGCGCGAGCGTAGCGGGCGGCCAGGTGGAGCGCCGTCTCGCCGGTGCGGTCCGTCTGCGCGGCCAGCGAAGCGCCTTGGTAGATCAGGTCCGAGATAATGTTGGCCGACGACTCCTCAGTGTCCTCCTCCTCTGCCACGTCCGTCTCCAGGCCGCCGCCACAGAAGGATGCCAACATCAGAGGCGTGAAGCCATCTGCATGGGATATCAGGCACCGGCCAATTAAAAGCTTTGTTTTGTAACATGTGATCCACTGTAACATGAGACTGAAGACCGGCCAATCAAAAACGAGTTCATGATCTACGTCAGTCAAATGAAACACGAGTGCCCTCCCCCACGCACCTGGGCCCCTGACATTGACGTCCATGCAGTCGCTGTCAAACTCTCCCTGGGGAGGCGTGAGTGCCATGGAAGGAGGCATGCGGATGTCGGCGGCCGCCAGGTGATGCTGGGTCCAGCGGCGGCAGTCGACGGCGTCCTCGCTGTCCGACATAACACTGGGCTCCTCCACCTATGTGAAGATGCAGTGAGCGGTTTGCACAGGTGCACCAGGCGTGCATGAGGGCATCGTGACCATGAGCGTCGCCGACGGGAGCGAGGAATGCCCCACCTTCAGCCGCTTGGCCTCGGGGCAGTCCGTATCCAGCCACTGGTCGTTGTGGTCTCCTAGCAGGGACTCCTCTACGGTCTTGGGAATGTGTCTGTGGGAACACGCGCTCTTAGTGCCCCGCGCCGATGCGGCGTGCGTGTGTGTGTGTGAGGGCACCTCCACTCACTTCATGCCCAGGGCATCCTGACCCACTGGCTCCCTACGGCTCTTGTTGCTGGCCGCCTCCTTTTTGAGCAGGAAGCCCTCGGGGAACCACAGCGTGCTGTGCTCCCGCTTGCGCCGGGCGATCAACATGCCCAGCACCAGGATGACCAGCAGGAAGAGCGCCGCCACGCCCACCAGCAACAACTTGCCCCACTCTGGCACTCCCACTGGAATAGGGAGCAGTTTCTCACCTGTTGCGGGGGCGAGGTAAATGAGAAAGGGACCACAGGACACCTAGCCTGCATGCCACTACTTACTCCACACTTGCAGCTTTACTGACTTTTAGGTAGGTTTTGAATGTTTTTTTTTATGTTCAGTCACGTATGTGCTGCCCCCTTGTGGCCCCTGCACTACACTACATCCAAATTCCGCTAACATGCCTGTGAAGCAATAACGATCAGCGATACTCACCGCGGACTTCTTTGATGGGGTACGGCAGCCGCAGCATGTCCACCGCGGACAGTGCCCCCAGGTACTCTGCGGCGCTGTCGGCCGTGGGGAAGCAGCTGTCCGGTGTACATAGCCTGTTGTCGATCTCCAGGTACACGATGGACCTGTAGGGGGCAGCGTGGAGCACAAAGGGTGTCAGCGGTGTAGAGTTTATCGCTGAAGAGAGGCACCCCTGTCTGGGCATGCCCACTTACCCGATGACCTCCTCGTGGGAAGAGAGTTCACGTTTCAGACGCGGGCCGCGGCGTGTATACGGCCGGATCATGGCCTCGCCGTTGCGGTCGAGGCGGAAGCGCAGCGTTGTGCGCAGGATGGAGCTGAGGCGTTGCAGGAAGGCTGTGCTGGTCCGGAGCAGCTCCTCTGGTGGAAGCAGGACCACAATAACCAGGACGCCGTCGGCCAAATGTTCTGAATCCTTCTCGGCGCAGTCCAGGCCGTCCCAGCCACACTCCTCTGTGTTGCAGCCTTGATCACAGCGGCCATCGCCGTAGTGGTCGATACAGTAAGCCTCGTAGATGGGGCTGAGGGGGGAGGGGACAGAGGGGCGTAAGCACTACACCTCTGAGCCAAAAGATAGATGGAGAGGAAGGTAAGGAACGGACACTCACTTGCATGTCCTGGCCTTGTTGTTGCAGTCGAAGTTGTCAAAGAGACACTCAGGCCGATTGCAGGCCTCGTCGCATTGGCTGTTGTTGAAGACGTGCCAGCACTGGGGGTCGTCGCATTTGGCCCAGGGGTTGATGGCCAGGGAGCAGTCGCCATCGTCCCACTTGCAGGGGTAGGTGTTGCACTCCTTGTCGCAGACACCGTCTTTGGCTTTGCCGTGGCAGTCGGCCAGCGGACACACGGGTTTCGGCTCCACCGGCAGCTCGCAGCGTTTGCCTGCCCAGCCGTTGGGGCACTGGCAACGGAAGTAGGGGAAGCTGGAGTCCTCAGCGCAGACGCCGCCGTTGCGGCACGGCTGGGAGGAGCAGCTGCGAAGCTGGCAGTCGGGCCCAGTGAAGCCCGGGGGGCAGGTGCAGAGTGGGCCATGAGGAGACAGCCCGCAGCTGCCCCCATTGTAGCAGGACAGCTCCCGGCATGACAGTGGGCTGCGCTCGCAGTTAAGCCCTGTGTAGCCCTGGGGGTGGACATGACGGGGACATCCTCAGAGATAGAGTAGAGGTGGACCAATCGAACGTGCTGAAGCGGGTCAGCTGATCATGTCGGAGGGGCAAAGTGTACTCACAGGCTGACAGGTGCAGGTGTACCCCAGGGCACTGCTTGGGGACAGGGAACAGTAGCCCTCATTCTGGCAAGGTTGAGACTCACAGACGCTGAATCTGCTCTGACACCTTCGACCTGCGGAGGATACCGGAGGCGAGTGAGATGGTGAGGACGCCCCCTGGTGGCCACAGACAGTGGCACATACACGCGTAGCCATACACCGACACACGCACCTGTGAAACCTGGCTTGCAGATACACTGGTAGTCGTTGGGAAGTTGGATACAGTCTAGGCTACTGGAAGGGCTGCACGGGTTTGAGCGGCACTCGTTAATATCTCCCTCGCAGCGCTCGCCGGTGAACCCGGGCGGGCAGTTACACCGGTACCCCCCGACTTGGTCCACGCAGGTCCCATTGTTGAGGCACTTGGGTGTCCCACGGAGCCTCGGGGAGGGACTGCAGTCATCCTCATTTATCTCGCACAAGACACCTGAAAAGATGGGGGAATATGTTAAATGTGGAAGGGGGGGGGATTAAATTGAAATGAATGATGAAAATCTTTCTGAGTTCTTACCCAGGGTCCCAGGGGGGCAGGAGCATATGTAGCGGCCGACCAGGTCGATGCATGAGCCCCCATTTTGGCAAGGGTGAGACTGACATTCATTGATCTCCACCTCGCAGTTCATTCCCTGGTATCCTGGCATACACTGAGAGAGAGGGACACCATCTGTCTGCGGTCTTTTCCAGTATTATACAGCAAGACCATCATGGTAGCCGGTTCCAGTCACGATCACGATCAAACCCCTGGGTGCTCACCTCGCAATTGTATCCTCCCACATAAGCCCTGCAGGTGGCGCCGTTGCGGCAGGGCTTATCCTCGCAGTGGTCCACCTGGCTCTCACAGTAGCTGCCCGTGTAGTCCGTGGGACACTTGCAGTAGTGAGCCGTGCCCGTGTTTACGCAATGGCCACCGTGGTGGCACAGCTGGTCGATCCTGATACCTGCATGTGTGATGGGGGAGGACATAATTCAGCACAGGCACAGTGATAAGCGTGTACTCACAAGGGGGGGGGGGGGGGTACAAGATCGATAGCGAACGCACCTCTCTGCACTGCGGCCACCTCGCAGGAAACGCCCGGGATGTCGCAGTAGCGGCCAGACCACCTGCCCACACAGTCACAGGTGAAAGAGCCATCCTGCGGGCGACAGCGCCCCCCATTCTTGCAGGGAGAGGACAGCCGGCACCAGTCTACTGCCATCTAGTGGGAGAGGGCAGTAATTACACACAATCCCAGCGCTTCACTTTCTGCATGCACACGTTTGTTGGGTAGGTGAGGAATGGATGGTGATGTGTCGGACCTGGCACCGGTTGCCGGTGTAGCCCTTGGGGCAGACACAGTGGAAGGCCTCCAGGCCGTCCTGGCACACGCCGCCATTCAGGCAGGGTTTGGCGTCACACTCGTTGACCTCGTGCTGGCAATTGGACCCAGTGAAGCCGGAGCGGCAGGTACAGGAATAGCCGTTGATCTTGTCAACGCAGGTGCCCCCATTGAAACAGGAGCTGTAGCCAATGAGGGAGGCAGGGGGGGGGGTGGGGGGAGATGGGTAAGCTTTGTGTTTAAAACAAGATGGTTGCCCACAGAGATGGGGAAGGTATTGCTGACCTCTCGGTGCAGTCAGGGATGTTGGTCTCGCAGTGGATGCCGGTGAAGCCGGGCTTGCAGGTGCAGGTGTAGCTGTTGACGTAGTCTGTGCAGGCGGCTCCGTTCAGACAGGGGGCGCTCTGACATTCATTCACCTCCACGGAGCAACGCGGCCCAGTGAAGCCCGGCAGGCAGCTGCAGCGGAACGAGTTGATGCCATCGGTGCAGGATCCGCCGCTCAGGCACGGATCTGGATCAGGAGGGAATGGAAAACCGCCGGTGAGAAAATGACTGTGGCAAGACTGGGTGAGCAGGCCAGTGTCTAGATGGGAGGGGGCGGGGGCTGCTCACTGGGAAGGCAGTCATTGATGTCAGTCTCGCAGTTGGGGCCGGTGAATCCTGGCCGGCAGATGCACATGTAGCTGCCCAGGGTGTTGGTGCAGGTGCCCCGGTTCTTGCAGGGGTTCAGCGTACACTCGTTGATGTCGATGTTGCACTGGTGACCTGTAGGGGGAGACAAAGTGCAACAAGTGTCACACACAGATTTTATCCGCTATTGTGTTTAATAGTATTTTATAGTTTTAATGCATGAGTACATGAGCAGACGTTTGCGGAGGCTCACCTTGCCACCCAGGCTGGCAGGTGCATTGGTATCCCAGATAGTCGGGGGTGTGGCTGCAGATGCCCTGGTTTTCGCAGGGGTTGGGGGAGCAGGGGGTCAGGACATCAGTGCAGGTGGGCCCGCTATACGGCAGCTCGCAAAGGCAGGTGAAGCTGGCCGCCCCGTCCACGCACGTGCCCTTGTTCAGGCATGGATTGGACACGCACTCATTAATGTTGATCTGGCACAGGGGGCCTGAAAAAAAAGGGGAAAGAAAAAAAGCACAGGTCATATATGTGCATAACATTTACCAGTGACAGTGGGCAGCCACTAGAGGGCAGCATGTGATCCCAAATACAGGCAGGGACCTTGTACAGCCAAAACTCAGTGGAAGTTTGTTATAAATGGGAATGTCACATACAGATTGACAGGCAATATGGCTGAACAGCTTGGTGGTTTATTTGGTTAATGACAGAAGATTCTAGGCCTGACGCTGCGCGGATCTCCAGCGACGTTTGTGAGGCCGTGCCCGCCGGGGAGTCACCGAATGCCCCGCCGAATGCCCCGCCGAATGCCCCGCTCACCTCGGAAGCCCAGCTGGCACTTGCACATGAAGCCATTCAGCTGGTCGACGCAGGTGCCGCCGTGCTGGCAGGGGCTGGACTGGCAGTCGTTGCGGTCTACGTCGCAGTTGGCGCCCACCCAGCCGGGCTCACAGTCGCACCTGTACCTGTGAGGTGGGTAGAGAGACAGTGCAGCACTCTTTACACTCGGATCAGGTGTATCCAAATAGACCCTGACTGGTTTTTATGCCAGTTTTTGTTACAGTCACATTAAAATCTTGGGTTTTCCTTCTTTTATAGTGCATATTTATAACGGAAATCCTTTTATTCGTAATGAAATGAAACAGCTCAAAGCTTTGTTTCATTTATCAATGATGTTTGTGCTAAACGAACCTCATGTGGATCTGGGTGCACTGAGAGCCATGGGCTCGGGGGGGCGGGGCTTGGGGGCGGAGCCTTACCCATTGAGGTCATCCCGGCAGGTGCCATGAACGCAGGGGCTGCTGCTGCACTCATCCACCTCGGAATAGCACAGCGGGTCATGGAAGCCCTCGGGACACTGGCAGTGGAAGCCATTCTCCTCATCCACACACGTGCCCCCGTTACGGCACGGGTTCGACGCACACTCGTCTATCTCCACCTTACAGAGGGGGCCTGCAGGAGGGAGGGAGCAGGAAGGGGTGGGTGGTGAGTAGATAACATTTCTGCAGTTGATCTTGGTGGCTTAGAACACTGTCCCTGTGATCAGAAGGTTGTTGGTTCAAATCTCGGCAGAGTGATTTCACCGTTGGGCCCACAAGCTAGGCCCTTAACCTCCAATTGCTCCAGGGACAGGCTGACCCAAACTCCCCAATTGTATGTCGCTATTTATAAAAGTGTCTGCTAAACAAATATAAAATGTAGAAGGATCTGCCCTCCAGTAATTTATGCATTAAATTAGAGTGACATTGCTTATCATGCTAAACAGATGAGGATGTTTATGTATAGGATGCAAACTGCATGAGCTGTTTAATCATGCTACGGCTCACAGAAAGCGCCTTTTAGATTCAGTCGATAGTTTTTTTGCGTTCTCTAAATGAAATCATTTTTATATTTAAAACCCCTTGAGTTCTGGACCTGGCATTCCTTTGATGCAGGTTTTTTTTTTGTAACCTGTCGCTGACGAGCACGCGACTCACCCGTGAAGCCCGGCTTGCACACGCAGTCGTAGCGGTTGATGCCGTCTTTGCAGACGCCGTAGTCGCAGGGGTTGCTGGCGCAGTCGTCGAAATTGATCTCGCAGTTGGTGCCTGTGGGAATAAGGAGGACGTCAAGCAACGGCGGCGCTGAGGGTCGGGGGGGGGGGTCACACGCAGGGCAGAGCGGGCCGGGGGCTCTCACCGGACGTCCCGTGCCGGCACTGGCAGATGTACTTATTGACTAGGTCCACGCACTTGCCGCCGTTCTGGCAGGGGTTGCTGTGGCACTCGTTGAGCTGGTTCTCACACCGGTAGCCGGTGTAGCCAGGTTCACAGTTACACATGTAGCTGGCGATTCCGTCGATGCAGGTGCCGTGGTGGCAGGGGTCTGGCTGGCAGTTATCGATGTTACTCTCGCACAGGGCGCCCTCGAACCCTGGGAACGGAGGCAGAGTGAGTTGCGCTTCCACCGAGTCCCTCTGCGCACTGAAAGCCCATGGATGGGGGACATGGGACATTAGTCTTGAACTTGAGAGGGGACGCTCCACGTCCGGTGTGCGGTGCTGCTCCCATGAAGGACCCGGGCATTTCCAACCCTTCACACCGAGCCTCAAGGCTGGAGGCCGCCAGACCATAATAATGTCAGTCACATATCACCTCATTCCTCATTCCATCTTCATTTCCCACTGAAGCCACACATTTGTTTGGGAACGGGGTTGGGGGGGGGGGGGGCCAAAAAAAGAGAGCTTCGCTCAGGAATTGAGTCCTCCGTCCCCCCCCCCCAACCCCTTTGTCTTCTCTGTTCATACAGAGAAAGAGTCCAAGGCTCAGAGTCCCGGATCGCTTAGTTTCCATGGCTACACTATGACTACCAGTGATCCATAGAGCTGGGCGGGACCTCTGGCCCCTGGGGGCGGGGCCTGTCGTGGAGGCGGAACTTGCTGATGGCCTCCACTTTAATGGAGTCTCACAGGCTTGCCTTTGTCAGCTCTGCTGCGCGGGCACAATGCGCCGCAGCCGGGCCCCTCCAACGGCCAGCCGCGGCGGAGGGGGCCCGGGGTGGGCGGAATACTAAACAGTCTGGGGGCCCCCCCCCATAAGAGTGGGCCAGTGCCGAAACGCAAATCTCACACAGCACCCCCTCCTCTCTCTGGCCTGTGTGCCGCAAGGCACTGCAAATGCACCTTCGTGCCACGGTCCTTGCGTTCACACTTGTACACGCAGTACAAGTCATACAAATTGAGAGACACACACACACACACACACACATAGCCCTGAATGTCTGCAGCTGAGATGCCTAACTAATATCACTTTGGCCAGAATTGTGAGTCAAACTTCTTTTAATAAGTATGTGCTTTCTTTTTTCCAGAGGTTGATTTTGGTCCATTTGATAATAGCCAGTTATGCCATTGATACACATGAATTGCGGCTACACTGATGTTTAGTGTTGAGGGACAGATGAACAGATGTCCTATCGAAAGCCTATAGAGCCCTCCAGAGCAGCTGCGGGTGCCATGGCAACCCGGTGATATATCAGGGTCCTTGGGTGACCCCCCCCCCCCCCAGTGGGTGGTTAGTCACACTTCTCTTGAACCTTCGCGTAAATCAGTGTTTCCCAATCCGGTCCTCAGTCCACGTTTTTTCTCCCTTCAGGTTCCAGGTAGGGAGCAAAAATGTGGACTGTGTGCCAGGGAGCAAAAACATGGACCGTCTCTGAAGACCAGGTTGGGAGCTACTGCTGTAAATGACAGACATAGAGAATGGGGGCACCATCATCAGAGTTTGAGGGAAGCATGGATCAATTTTTACCTTCAGCACAACGGCATTCGTAACCGTTGGGCCGGTCGTAACACTTGGCTCCGTTCTTGCAGGGCGTGCTGGCGCACTCATCGATGTCAATCTGACACATGGCCCCGGTGAATCCTGCAAGATGCACGCACATATCTCAGCTGTCGAAAGAAGGTCACACTTCTCACATCATCTTAGTGCTACCGTGTTCATGGAATACAGATGTCTTTGCCCTGTTCTTCACCGTTTGTCTGGGCTGTGCCCTGGAATGTGCACGCCGAAATATTCTGGGCGCTTTGTAGAGAACTATGTTGTGGAATGCCTACAATGACCAGGGCCCTGGAATCTCTGTACTGTGCTGTGTTATGGAATGTCTACACCGCGCTGTAATCTGGAATACAGGCTAGATAAATTCTAGAGTATCTTGCTTAGATTAAGTACTGAGTTAAATTGAGGCCTTTGTTGATATTTAACAGAGAGGGGGGTGCAAAGGGTTGAAGGGAGGACAGGGTGATTGTTTATTCTCTCTCTTGGGGCAACCCCAGCCCTGCACTAGCTCCGCAGGATCAATAGCTAGATGGGGGGCAAGAAGAAGGAGGGGACAGGTCCTGTCTGCCCCAGATGTAAATTGCAGAGCTGGAAAAGAATCTCATTAGCCGGACTGCTGTTCCTCTGCACTTTGGGGAGGGAGGTGGAAGAGGGGGTGGATAGCGGACTATCGTTTTTTCCTCCTGAGCTGTGGCTGACAAGGAGATATGGGAGGTGGGGGGGATGCAGGCAAGTAGAACACAATAGTGTCTTTGTTCAGGCATGTAGATAGACGGCCTCCTGGGCCTGTCTGCTAAGCAATGGTTGCTCTGGCACACCAGAGGCAGCAAAAGTGGTCCACTCGCTGTCTTACGGTACTCCTCCAGTAGTGACCGGCCTACCTGGCTGGCAGGTGCATGTGAAGCCATTGACCATGTCCCTGCAGATGCCATCGTTGACACAGGGGTTGCTTTCACACTCGTCCACGTCCACCTCGCAGTAAGTACCCATGTACCCTGGCAAAAGGAAAAATGTAGGGTTTAGAAAGTGCAAACGTGGGATTTGGTCTCTCGGGCAACTCTCAGCTAATTGCTGTATCATTTAGAGCTAACCAAGCGCACTGTGTGTCCCCTTAGTTGGGAGCTCGTCGCAGAAGACCAGTGCGCAGAACCGATCAGGAACCTGAACTTGTGACCAGAACCCCGCAGATCACTTTCGGGGGGGGGGGAAGCAAAGTCGCCGGGGTTCCGTTTGGGACGCCAGAGCCACGCAGAGCGAGTAAACCGTGAACCTGTAAACATACGGCGACACGAATGTCGCTGCAATACTGCAAACTCCCGGCTCAGAGACGCAGATGCAGGAACGAGGCTTTCCGAAGAGGAAGGGAAGGAATCGAGGGGCTGACAGACCCGCCGTGCGTTCCGGAGGGAGGGAGGGGTGCACACAGAGGGCCCCCTTTGTCCCACCATCTATTCCCACATTCATTAACATTCACCACATCGCCCCGCCCCCCCTTCCCCAAAAAAAAAACGCTTCTATCCGTCTAGCTGCCGACTCTCCCCCGCCCCCATCTTCCAAGAGACCCCACGCCACGACTAGGCCACGACTGGAACACGCATAAGCCACAGAGAGGCCACATGAAGCTAATGCCTCAGCTTCTGCTTGGAACTGGGAATGGCTCTTGACCTTGTCAGGCCCGCTTTGGTGCTCAGAGTTCAGCTTTTCTCGCTCAGCAGGGAATATGTGTAGTGGATTTCTCTCTCTTTTTTTTTTGCTGAATCTGAAGTCTCCTCAGTGTTTCATTACTTCCTTTTATTTCTGCTTCAAATGTCAAACTTAAGACTTGAGATCCCCGAACCTCTTTTCTTCTTTCGCTGCCGAGGCCGTGACTCAAATCCTTGCGGGCCGCCTACAGGCCATGTGAGGTTACTGCGCTCTCTCTACACAAAGGGCTGGTACAAGAGCTTAACGCAGAACTTGAGAGTTTGAACATGCTCAGTCCTAACGCTGTGGGACCAATAAAGGTTTTTATCCGAGATGGAGAGAGACTTGGGGAAAATCACAAAGTTCTCAAATGTTAAGCGTCAAATTATGGCAAATAATTTCAGTTTCGAAAGTTACATTTTCTCACCCATATTTAGTGAGCTATTTTTTTACCTCGAGCAGTTTAGGGTAGGAACCTGATAACACGACAGCTTTCCCCGGGTTCAAAAGTCCATGACTTTAGTCTCCTCACTGCCTACAGCCTAGAGCAGGGGTCTCCAACTCCGGTCCTGGAGAGCTACCGTCCAGTAGGTTTTCTATCCTCCCTGGCTTCTGATGAGCCACACTAGTTCTCAGGTAAATACCAGGAGCAGGTGTGGCTCATCAGAAGCCAAGTGGGACAGAAACCCTACTGGATAGCAGCTCTCCAGGACCGGAGCTGGAGACCCCTGGCCTAGAGACTGTGATGGACTCTCAGCTCCTGAATCAGCCGGGAGAGGACGTTTACCTGGCATGCAGATGCAGGTGAACTCTCCAATGCGGTCCAGGCAGGTGGCGTCGTTCTGGCAGGGCATGGACAGGCACTCGTTGATGTCGATCTCGCAGCGCGGGCCAGTGTAGCCCCTCCCACACTGGCACAGGAACGAGCCCTCTGTATTGACGCACTTGCCGAAGTGCTCACAGGGGTTAGCGCCTGCCAAGGGCGGGGGGGGGATGGGCGGCGGAAAGGAAGAGGAAGGGGGGATTAATAAAAAAGAATCCAAACTTGCCCCCCCCCAACATGACTCCGTCTGATGGACACGCGGACGAGGCCGGCGGGAACCCCGCTTACCGATGGAGCACTCGTCCATGTCCTGGTTGCAGGCCCCGCCCACAAAGCCCGCGGGACACGTGCAGATGGCGCGCCCGTTCAGGGGATTGGTGTCGCACACGGCGCCCTCGTTGCAGGGGTTGCTGACACAGGCGTCATCCAAGTGGCATAACAGGCCTGGGAAGACGGCAAGCGGGCGCTCAGGTACCCATATGCACCTCTGGAAGATGCCCCTCCTCCCAGAATTACCCCCAGATGACGGCTCTGTGAGTCAGCGGGCAAGTGGGCCCCAGGGGAGACTGTGTCTACACGTAACCGTGATGTCACAGCGGGTATCGGGTATCCAGGCGTGGCTGTCTATTGGTGGCTTAGCTAGTATGACTCAGGGGTGATTCAGGGATTATTTTTATGGTGGAGGGCACAAGATGAGCCATAATTCATACAGAGGGCCATCGAAGTGGCATTAATACAGAGAGGCCAACTTCATCAATAGCCAATGATGTTGTTGTGAGCGACAGGAGAAAGGGCCAATCAGCTTTGTGGGCCTGCCCCTGTTGTGATTTTACCTGCATATAACTGTAGGACGTCCACGTGTGACCGGCCGCATGTTTTCAGTTCATTTATGACTGCGTGTTAATGTTGCGGCTGCTCCCACGTACGATCGCGTGCCCGGGGGTCGGACGGTCACCTGTCTTGCCGACGGGACACTCGCAGAAGAAGGAGGCGACGCGGTCGTGGCAGGTGGCGCCGTTGAAGCAGACGGCGGTGGCGCAGTCGTCGATGTTCTCGCTGCAGTCGTCGCCCGTCCAGCCGTTGACGCACACGCACGTGTGGCCACCGACCGTGTTGAAGCAGGTGCCGCCGTTGTGGCACGCGTTGGGCTGCATGAGGCACTCGTTGACGTCCTCGGCGCAGTACTGACCTGCGGAGATGGGCGCCTGTGAGTTTGCCGGTACCGGAGCCGCGCCGTGACACTGGCTGTGGGACGGCGGCCGTACCTGTCCACTCGGGCCGACACTGGCAGTTGTAGGTGTTCACGCCGTCCACGCAGTGACCCCCGTTCATGCACTTGTGTCCCGGGCAGTCATCCACATTCACCTCGCAGTTTTGTCCTTCGAACCCTGGACACCGGATGGGGGGGGCGGGGCGGGTAAACAAGGTTATTGAAATTAGAGAGGCCACAGAAATCACAGCGCAGGGTCATTTGCACTCAGCATGCCTTTCATCCGCAAGAACTGTGGTAACTATTCATGTGTGTCGGGGGATGGGGGGGGGATGACTGAAAGTTAGGGGCTGAGACGAGCACTTATGCACTAAGCAGAGAGTCTCCCCCCGACCCCCAGCTGGGTCTGTGCGTGTTTATACTAGTGCGCGTCCTGGATGGAAAGCAGAGCGGCGTGTCAGCTGTTTAGCCCTTCCCACACTGAGCGTGTCGGCCCCGACGGAAGAGAGGGGCCTCCCTAAGCGAAAGGGACCGGGTGGGGGGGGGGGGGCTCCCGGCGACGTGCGCGTGTTTAAAAACCTCCTTCGCAGTTTCGATGACTTCCTCTTCCAGCGAGATACATTTCCTGTCCTCTCTCCGGAGAGAGGTCAGGAGGGCCTTAAAGTAAACTCCTGCTGTTTATTTAGCCCCCCCGCCCCCCCACCACCATCGTCAGCAAGCAACCCCTCACCCCGCCCCCGTCGGACTAATAATAGCAGACAGGAAGTGATGGTGGAATGGGACAGATTCTCTCGCCAGGGCCACTGAGATGGCTGTGTTGGGTTGTATGATGGGTTGTATGATGCGCACGTTCCCGCACACGCGTGTGTGTGTGTGTGTGTGTGTGTGCAACGTACCAGGCAGGCAGGTGCACTCGTAGCTCAGCTTGCCCGTGGGTCGGCAGGTGCCCCCGTTGAGGCACTGGGAGGGGGCACAGGGCATTGAGGACACCTCGCAGGCCCGGCCGCTGAAACCAGCCTGGCACTGGCAGCGGTACGAGCCGTACTCGTTGACGCACGTGCCCCCGTGGAAGCACGTTCCCGGTCGCTGGCACTCGTCGATGTCGCTGCGGCAGTTCTTGCCCTGGTAGCCGGGCGGGCACGAGCAGTTGTATCGGTTGTTCCAGTTGGTGCACCGCCCGCCGTTGGCACAGGGGCTGGTTACACACTGGTCAATCAGGGAGCAGTCCTGGCCTGTAGGGGGCGCAGTTCACACATTCAGCTCATTGTGGTAACCCGCCTAAAAGATGATGTCACCTCGGGGGGCAGTGGTGGTACCTCGGAATCCCCGCTGGCACACGCAGGTGTGCTGGGCCATGCCGTTGACCACCTGGCTCTTGCAGACGGCTCGGTTGAGGCAGGGTGAGCGGTGGCAGGGGTCCTGGTACTGGCACAGAGGTCCGATGAAGCCGGGTTGACACCTGAGCACAGGGGCACGGTAGAGATGTTGGTCATGGGGTTGTTGAGAAGGATCATAAGCTCGCATGGATTCCAGTGCCAGTTTAGCTAGAAGCAGACCATCAGAAACCAGCACTGTATCTCCGCCACAGCTGAGACAGACCCCCCCCCCAGCTGGAGCGTGTCAGCCTCACTTGACGCCAGCTTGCATTCCTCTCCCATTACTTCTCCCTCCACTCTTGGCCCTTAGCATGTGTGGTCAACATTGACCCCCCCCAGCCGGAAACCACCACAGGGCCTCCCTCCTCCGCCATGGCTCAGAGAACCGTCCGGAACGCCAAGCCCGTGACATCACTAACCCACGCCGGAAACGCGGCACCAGTGACAACAGATTATTAGCGGTAAACGTTCCAGGTTAACTAATGGCAGGAAGGCGCAGCGGATGATGGCTGGGGGGGGGGGGGGGGGGGGGGAACGGGGGAAGCTGTGACGATGGCAGGAGGAAGTACTTTCCACAGCGCCTCTCATGCGCTGCTTACACCTCAGCGGGAATGCGCTCTCCACATGACTGAGTGCCGTTTAGAAAAAAAAAGGCATGGGTGTGCAAATGGGGCTTCCCTGACCAAACCCCAGGGGCCAGTGGATTCGGTCTATGGATGAGGGCGTGCTGGAGGGGATACCTTTACTGCGGCACAAAAGCAACCGGCCAGACCAAGAGGCTCAAACTTCAAAAAGGCTTTGGGAGGCCCCTTGATGACAGCGATGCGGGGGAGGGACCGGACCACGTCTAACCGTGTCCTCTTCTGTGACTCCTCTCCGAGAGGACTGAGACCTGGCGTGCGATAAGCCAAGTCTTTTCTGGACTTGGGCCAAGCCGCCTGCTCTCTGGATCTGCCAGTCAGCTTCAGCACAATGACATTCGTGTGACAGCACCTGACGCTCTACCGTTTATATAACGTAGCTGCACATCGTTTCTGGGATTAAAAGAAGAAAAAAACAGACCAGGACATGACCTGGAAGAAGAGCCACCACACTTCAGCTATCATGGCGACTGCTGAAGTACACCTGTGTAAATCCGGCTCTTCCCGGAATCCCCTCACATGCTGAGAGGTCAGGTGTCAAAGGGCACCAGCTCAATTGAAATGATAATGACAGTCAGACTGAGCATCTGG